GAGTCCTGACACGTATCTTTTCTGGTCGAGCATCTCCCCAAAGTCTGTCCTTCTCTACCCCTGCAGGAGTCCCTAAAGATACCCCTCTCCCCCACTTCCCACCAAAGAATGCCTGGGCACAAAGTCTGTGCCATCACCAGGGGAAAAGGCACCATCACACAGCTGGACTGCTACGTCTCAGGAGTTTTATGTGACACAAACCACGCATCCAAACATATGGAAACAGACCCTAACCCAGGGACGCAGTCAGAGCTGACCAGGACATTTGTAATTGACATTTGTAACAGCAATTCCTCGGGGCAGAAAAAGACCCTGGGAGGACTCCGTCTTAGGGCTTCCCTTTCTCTCCGCAGAGAGTCAGAGCTCTCCAAGAGGCTGCACAGGAGACAAGAGAATTTCTTGAGCAATGTTTCCCAAGCAGCATCCCATGCTGGGAAAGTTTCCCATTTACTATATTGAATCATTGTAACAACAGAATAATAAACATAAATAGGGAGTAGGGAAGAAAAAAGCCTTCCGGCAGCATCTGAGGTAGTTGGTGCTTTGGTGCATCTTCTTTCCCTTGATGGAGTCATTCCAGCAGTCTGCAGCCATCCTTCAAGGAAAGGACTTGCAAGATTGCTAGCAACAGAGGAAACGGGATCTAATTTACAAGCAGAATGGACACGCATGGAAAAGCCTCCCATGTGGACAGAGATCAGTCCGCTCCTGGAGTCCTTTCTTACATGTCTTACAGGGCAGCAGTCCAAGACAGATACCAAAGAAGGATGCTGCAAGCTGGAGCCCCAGGAACCCAGCAGCCCCTTCTGGGACCCAACCGCCCTGGTGGCAGCTGCCCAGTTGCTGCTCACTGTTCAAAAGGGGCTCTGGCAGCTCTGGAGCCCTGCGCTCGCCAAACTGGAAGTTCAGAACAAGCAGGTATTGTCCACTGTGCTGAAACAAAACAAAGGACCTGGAATACGGGGCCTGCTCGAAGGAAAAGAAAGAGACCCCAGAGCCAGCCAGCAAACACAGGAAACAACCTACATTAACTTGGGACCCTGGCAAGGTGCCATTCATCTGCTCCTGCCTACACACTGAATCATCAGTGCTGGCTCCTCCGTAAAAGCAGCACTGGGACAGTTAGGATCTGAGCATCTTGCAGCCATAGCAGGGCAGAAATCTGTGGGATTGGTGGAAACCAGCTCAAATCTTATTTACAAGCTAGGCCCTTTGCCCTCAGCTCTCTGGTGAGAAACCATTACAGGCAAGGGCCTGGAATTTGCCAAGCACAGAGCCCGTCACCATGGACCAGGGATTTCTGCTGAGGCCCGCGTTCCTTGTTAGGAAAAGATTGGTAAAAACTGCAGGAGACACTCTACGGGATATGCTTAGCTTAGCTGTCTGAATGTCTGCTTCTTAAGCTCAGAGGTTAAGGATTTAGTTCCACGTATCAGTTTACTCGCAAATAAAGTGTCTCTCCACATTTTAATCTAAAGTATGCTCCATTGTCTTGTCCACTTCCTCTTATGCCCTCTCCCCATGACCTTTTCCCCAGCCAAATGCTGGGAAGCTATTAGAAAATATTCTGTGAAATATTTAATCTCCAAACAGCAGGGTCTATGCATGCCATGAGAGACTTATAGTCCTCATGATCAGGACAGGAAAGACAAGAATTGTTTCTAAGCCCCTAGGTCCTTCTGGGAAATCTTTCTGAGGCTGGAATTGTTGCTAAGTGAAAACCTCTCAGCTAAATAGCCCTTTAGATGACTTACAAACTGGGCTAGCTGGAACTGTAGGCATTCTAGCTCGTGGTAGATCTCACTTCCACTACGCACATGGCCTTTGCACGGAAACTAAACAACCTGTACAAGTGACATTTGAAAATATATTTTGCAACCTTATGTTAGTGAAAGCAACTTTCCATTCTCTGTTCTCAAAAGAATTTACATTCTGAGGCAGTCTGAGCTCCCTCCGTTCTCAGGAAGGACATGGCAGAGATGTAAATTGGTTTATGATTTGTTTATAAAATTATAAAAGTATTTCTTTATGTGTTTATCAGGGTGGGGGGACTTTCAAAGCTTGAGGAAGGCTTTCTAGAGGTAGAACACAGAGCTGTTAAGTGGTATAAATGCTTTCTCTAACTATACACAAAGGCATACTCCCCTTTTTTACTTGCAATACTTTAGCCTGCTACTGGGAAAAGCTTTGAAAAAGTTAAAGCTCATCTGAACTCAGCTGTGAAGATTTATTAGCTAACCACAGAGCATAATCCTGACTTTTCTACGCCTCAGCTGAACTGAGGTAGATTTAGCACCCTGCAACTGTACTTATTAAAAGGTCTGCCTGTACGAAGTTTCACAGAAACCAGGATCGGACTTGTAAATCAAACGCTCACTTAACGCACTTGACCTGTTACGAGCAGAACCTAGCAAATCTGATGCCCCTAGACTGCTTTTGCTCCTAAAGTCAAGGTTTCTCTTTTCCATGTAACCTTTTGCTCACAATTCCCAAACATCTCCACTTTTGATCACAATAGCAGGCTCAAACAGGTCTTTAGGACCGCAGGAGAATTTTATATAGATTACGAACAGTTTTTTAAGAAGTCAGAAGTTTGGCTCCAATTCGCTTCATAGCACCCCCTTACAATCATCTCATAGAACAACCAGAACAAAACAAAAGCAGTACAACCTGCCCACTAGATTGCAGCTATAGGAACCCCTCCTCAAATAGCCTTAGTTAGTAAAAGCTGGGTGAGGGAAAGGATTCAATGTTTTGAGTTTACAGAGTATCTCTCAAACAAAGCATCAGCTGCTTTGTAGCAAAACAAGACTGTACAATGCCAGACTAGGTCATTCTTCTTTGGCCATAAGAGAAAGACATCCCTGAAGACTTGGCCTACCTTTACGTGATTTATAGTCAAATAACCCAGGTGGAAGACGGTGGCCTTTGGCACTAGGAAGTCCCAGCTGTGCCCATGGATTGGGGCGGTACGGAGCCGCTAGAGGGCCCAGCATGCACAGGAATGATGAACACAAGCCTTATAACTCCTTTTGGGAAATGAAAGGTCCCTTCCTTTGCCCAAGACTTAAATTATAATAGTTACAACACTAAAAATACACTCCCGCTACTTCTGTTGTATGTGGAGCGCTTTAAAAGGGGCAGGCAGGCTTCATTTAAGCACATGGCATTTTCCTTTAGCCTCTCTGCTCCCCAGCAGGCCCTCCTGCAATTGGCTCAGACTCACACAACTCTCACTACCGTTTTCCAAGATTTAATACAACAGCTTGTGTGGCTTGTTGCTCCCACGGTAGCAGATGTCTGACACAGAACACCTCTAAATAACTTAATAGCTAATTTTAGAGTAACATTCACCCCAGAGCAGAGTCCTAGAAATATCACTTGTAGATCTGGGCACAAATTCAACCAGAAAAAGGACTTTAAACAGTGCCTGAGCATTTAGGCTATGCTATGCTGCCACGGAATGGTAGCAAACTCCATTTGAGGGAGCGAACTTAGCCACAGTTATTGCCATGACCAATCTTTCTTAGCAAAGCAACATAAACATCATCTCCAAAGCACAGAAAGTTTCTCCTTGAAGTCGACTGCCCTCACATGGACTGGAAAGACTGACATCAGCCAGGCTAGTATCTGCTTTGCTGTTGTGTCAGCGTGCGGAAGCCTATGACAGCAAGCAGTTTGAAGGCTTAAAGAAAATGCTCGCAGAGTTTAGTATTTAGAGCAGCAGTTCCAACATTCACTGACCTATGGACAGCAGCAAGGAAGCAACATATTGCAAACAGCACTCTATCTTTCCACACCGTACTGGGTATTGTCCATAAGCTTGGGCCTCTCCAATTAACAGGGAAGCTTTACTAAAGGAAACAGTGTCATTACCTAAAAGGTTGAGCTAAACTTAAGTTTAAAGATGAAGTATAATCGTATCTTCATTGCCTGGAGTAACAGAGGTGTGAGGGGATCCATGGCTCTTCTTTTTCTTGGGTGATTTGGATACCACGGGGACAGCGGGAGAACGGGGCAAACAGATCTGCCAAGAGCATCTAATCAAATCCTGAATGGCTCAGCACTGCGGTCTCCAGGAATCTCCCCTTCGTGCAGGGGCAATGCAGGGCCAAGGTAAAGAGCCTTCCCTGTGACAGGGAGGGGTGGGGGGTGAGGGGGGAACAAGGCAAAGCCATCTACAGCTGCTCTCGGATCTGCGAGGAATCAGCTTGGGGGACTGAGCTTGGCCAGGCTCCTGCTGGCTGCACTCCCTGTGCCTTCCTCCCCAGCACTGCCTGCTCTAGGAGTGCTCTGCTGCGATGTCAGTTTACCTGCAGCTAGCGTGCAGTTTCTCTACTTGGCTCCATATAAAGGCAGCTGTTTGGCTCTTGGACCACAGTTGCCCTGAAAGCAATACAGCAGCATTTGCCCGTTTTTGTGCCTGAGCTTGGGAAGCACCACCAGACAGAAGCCAGTCTCGCGAACGTGCATGTGCTGTCTATTGGCAACAATGGACAAGCCTAGGTTTAAACACAGTCCAGAAAAGCAGTCCAGAAAGAAGCTTCTTCCTGTGAAGCTTTCAATCTGAATTAGCCCTTGTATTAGCCCAAAGAATATAGAAGTTAATTTCCTGAGATTGGTCAGGTGGAAAGCATAGGCTGCATCTCAAGCCTAACACATTTCCCTCCTGTTCCTACCTCTTCTTCCCCATCTCTAGCACACCCTGTTCAATCACACACCAAAGTTGTAGGCCCCGAGGCTTTCCCAATTCCAGTCCCTCCTAAAGACTTTTTTCTTCTGCCGAGACACAGATACCAACCCTTTTATCAAATACACCCAAGGCACCAATAGGTTATTATACTACTCTGCTGTCACCTCTCCCGCTCTATTATATGTGAGTCCGTTTTGTAGATCCTAAAGTCATTGGGGCAGGAACAGAGCTTTGTGTTTTGCTCCAACACAACTGGGGAAGGCAGAAACAGGAGAAAGAGAACATAAATGATACAAAACAAGAAGGATTGCCATGTTTTCATTTTAATGATCAGAGGTCAAATTAACACTATAGGAGCAGTCGGAGGGAAGGAGCATTTCCCAGACACACTGCAGATGTTTCTGTGAAACAAATCAACATTCATTTGCAGGAAAAACAAGATATTCCAATATTGAAACTAGCTGTTTATACTTCATAAACAGGAAGAGAGACTTTTTACGAACCTCCACTTTCTCATATGTTTCACCTTTTCTAGTAAAAATACAAGGAACAGTTACTGCATGAAAAGACATAAACAAGGATGGCCAGAAACCTTTCTTGGCTATTACACAAAGTTGCGGGCAATGGCCAATACTTTGGAAAACTCTCCTTCTCTCCGTCGCAGGATATAAGGTATTGGTGTTTTTATTCTCGTTCCTATCGGATTTCCATTGTCTTCTATGAGTACCACATTGTTGGAATCAAATCTAGGGGTCATGGTGGGGCCAGGCATCTTCTGCCCTACAATCAAAGCCTTCTTCTTTTCTCCTTTGATAGCCAGAAGGATGGTATCTCCTACTTTGCCAACTCCAGTCTTGTTATACACATGGATACATTTTGGTGGCCGGTGGTATGCTGTGTTCCCCAAGGCGCTGTTGTCCACCACTCGTACACGAGTCAGTTTCTGTATTGCTCTGCACGCTCCAGTGACACTAGCAAAAGACAGGAAAGAATTAAGAGAGAGATCTCAATAGTCCTTGCGGAGCAAGGGCAAACCCAGCACAGGATCTTGTCATTACACAAACCACTCAGAAGGAGCCAGCAACAAATACATACCATATGGGTGACACATTTACTGCATTCAATGTGCTCTTTGAAAGCCAGATGCTACTTCGGGCTTTGCACACTCTTCACTAAATGTCAAACATAAAACGACCGTTCTACTCTGAAACATGACTAAAGGATGGTGTGAAGAGGGGCTTGCACTTACTGGGTCTTTTAGCAACCACAGATGATTCGATTCAGCTTCAATTTATGGGAAAAAGTATGTGCTTGCTTCTGCCACTAACAGCCCACAGGGAGCTAAGACTCAAGTCAGATTCTTTCAATCTTGTATACACTCCCCAGCAACAAGGACTTTTCTGACCAGTATTCTTTACAGCGAAGTCTGTGAAGCCCTCTCTTCTTATTCTGCTCTCACTGAGACCTCTGAAGTCCTGGTGTGACTGTTTTAAGCTGCCACCAACCAGAGTCTAACAGACCACCACCTTCGCCATGTGGGAAGAACCCAGAGAGAAGCGCACTCTTCTGTATGTCTTTGCGCTACAGGATTAGCAGGAGTAGGAAATAATAGGAATACACTGCAGGACGCTAAGTCAGTAGATCTGACTCTCAATACACTTGGGAACATAAGGAATAAACTGAAAAATAATTCACGTCCCATTAAGGAACAGCTATTCTTTTACCCAGGTAAGCTCAAATTCACATGATTTGTTGCTTCTTCTCAAAAGAGACTTAATCACAGATCTTCAGGAAAGCAGAAAGATCCTTTCTACTGCTAAAAAACTGCTTTGCAGTATGATCCTAGAAACATGCTGGTCAGATACCTGCAAGAACGCCAAGTTGCTGTCAGCTGAACTACTCCAATAGACAGCACGTAAAATCAACCTACATTCACCTAGTTTTAAAGACCACAGGCATATACAGTAAATAAAGACCATCAGGGACCTTTATTCTGGAGCGTTGCCACAGGGAGAAGAAGGGGAAACCCAGATGGGACCGAATTCACAAAGCAGCAGTAGCAAACTGACAATTATGAAAGTGTGATTGCCCAGGTACCACCAGACAAGAACAACTGCACAAGGAGGACTTGCTGATGATGCTAAACTGGGGAGAGTGGCTGACACACCAGAAGGCTGTGCTGCCATTCAGAAGGACCTGGACAGGCTGGAGAGCTGGGTGGAGAAGAAACTCCTGAAGTTCAGCAAAGGGAAGTGCAAGGTCCTGCACCTAGGCAGGAATAATCCCATGCAGCAGTACAGACTGGGGGTGGACCTGCTGGAAAGCAGCTCTGCCGAGAAGGACCTGGGAGTGCTGGTGGACAACAAGTTAAGCGTGAGCCAGCAATGGGCCCTTGTGGCCAAGAAGGCCAATGGTGTTCTGGGCTGCATTAGGCAGAGTGTGGCCAGCAGGTCGAGGGAGCTGATCCTGCCCCTCTACTCAGCCCTGGTGAGGCCACACCTGGAGTACTGTGTCCAGTTCCGGGCTCCCCAGTACAAGAGAGACATGGCACTCCTGGAGAGAGTCCAGCGGAGGGCTACAAAGAGGATGAGGGGACTGGAGCATCTCTCCTCTGAAGAAAGGCTGCGAGAGCTGGGCCTGTTGAGCCTGGAGAAGAGAAGACTGAGAGGCGATCTCATCAATGTGTACAAGTATCTGAAGGGAGGGTGTCAAGAGGATAGGGCCAGACTCTTCTCCGTGGTGCCAAGTGACAGGACAAGAAGCAACGAGCGCAAACTGAAACACAGGCAGTTCCATCTGAACCTGAGGAAAAACTTCTTTCCTGTGAGGATGACTGAGCACCGGAACAGGTTGCCCAGAGAGGTTGTGGAGTCTCCTTCCCTGGAGATATTCAAAACTTGCCTGGACACAATCCTGGGCAAAGTACTGTAGATGACCCTGCTTGAGCAGGGGGGTTGGACTGGATGATCTCCAGAAGTCCCTTCCAACCTTGGCCATTCTGTGATTCTGTGACCCTTTTTCGTCATTGCTTTGTTTCTGCCACAGTCTTCAAGCAGAACCCCACCACATAAAACAGGTTTCCCTGTTAGTCTGCTGGCTATGGCAGTAGCATTGCTTGACTCCATGGACTTTGCCTCCCTTCCACTGTCAACATCTATCCTTTAGGCTCTCATGCAACCCATTTACAGAGAATGCCACTAAGATGTATATATCTCCTTGAAACCTAGCCCTTGACATTGTCTTAATGCCCTCTCTTAATCATAGCAGATAGTCGTGGGAATGACTATTCTCACCCTGCAAACTGAAGCCCTGACCCTTCACAGAGCTCTGTGCTATAGATTCCCCATACCCACGCCAAGTGCACTGGCGTGCTCTATGCAAGGCATTGCGGTACACAAATTCAAGAAGCTTTAAATGCCTTGAGCTTGGAAAAGCACCTAAAGAAAAATAACGAAAGGGACACTGTTAAGGTACAATAATTTTTTTTCAGGTTATTCTTGTTCTAAATACCTGAAATGATCAACTCTGGAAGAATTTTAAATATGTAACTGGCTTTACATCAGCAGGGGTTGGCTGTTGCTTTTTTTGCACTTGGCTGGAGAAGAAATCTCGAAGGCCTATAAGCTCCTTTACAAGCATACAAATACAGAGTTCAGACCATATTCAGATTGCCAGGAACCTCATCTCCAGGTGTATTAGGACTCACTTTACAATCCATGAAAAGATATCTGCGATTTTGTTTTCTATTATATTACCCTTTTCAAATTAGATTATATTTTATGCTTGATCTACTTAACAACAACTCTTTGAATCAGGATACTGACCCAAGAAAACAAAATCAAAAGCAGGATTTGAAAATTACCTGAAGTGTCGCTGGAGGACTGTGCTGCTTAGATGGGTTAAGGATAAACCCAGTCGCCTATTCAAGAGAGCCATTTGGATTCTGGTAACTTGCCCTGCATAAAAAACAAAAGAATTATGGACTCTGGAAATTGGACAGTGTTTATTTCACCTTTTTTTTTTTTTTATGTGAATCGCACACTAGAGTCTCAACAACCCTTTAGCACTGTATGCTGTGGATTGCAATGTCTAACAGCATCCTCAGCATGATACACAGTAGAGCAACAGCCTCTGACTGAATCCAACAGACTGTTATAATTCAGATGCCTAAACTGTAAAGCTGGAATCAGTATCACCGCAGTGCAGTTTTCTGTGCACAGGGGTAAAGGCTTATCTGTGCATTATGAACCATGTAGCAACAAACAGGCTTGAGAATTTTGGATGTGAACAGAGTTCCTAATTTACAGACTTTCATGACCAGTAACAGCGAGCGAAGTTACCTATAAAACCAGATAAAAAACCAGGAATACTCAGCAGATTCCCATTAGAGCCTCAAGAAACCATTTGCTAGGTAAGGAACAAAACAAAGCCCCAGTGCTGATCATGATATGCTCACTCTTAGTACACACAAGGTGTTCAGCAGCCTGCGTTTAGAGTCCAGAATCACTCTCTTGCCAATCCTGCCCTCTTGACGCTGCCCAGATGGAACTGTTCCCCGTAACATTATGGTTGGTGTTCACTCCACACCCAGATGTTTTACCCTGGCTACATTAGAGCCGGTCACAAGGTTAACCTCTGACTGAGTTTACCACACCCTCTTCCTATAACTACATGTATAGTTGTTCCCCAAGCTCATTCTGTCAAACTGATCGGGACCAGCTTGCATGCTGAATAGCAAAGGCTTATCTGAACTGAGATCACTTTGCTGGCTGGACACAGCTTAGGGAGCAATGGCACAAGCAGCTATGCCAGCAGATCCAAGCGAGCAGAGGAAATAAGGCTCTAGAGCCAATAATCTTTCGGACCAACTCAGGTAGTGCTAGGACTTCCTGTCTGACTGGAACTAATGCCCCACCACAACACTTACTTGCTAGTGTAACCAACACATGCTTTGCTTCTCTCTCTTCTGAAGTAAACATTAAAGATACATTGCCCTCTTAGCTCCCTTTGCCAATTCCGATCAGCTTAGGTCCAAATTCTGTAGCAGCAAGTTCTACAGTAGTTTTCTTCACTTTCATTTTAAAAACACAGCTGACCTAACTTCTCGGGGGGGGGGGGGGGGGACACCTCACTCCGCATCCTACACACGGAATTTTTTTTTTTAGGGTTTGCAACAGGCCTGCAGAGCAAGTGTTTCCTGACAAGAGGATGAGAAGCACTGGAGATGTACACCACAGCAATTCTGTAGCAGCACTTCCTAAGCAAAGCACCTGTTCTCCAGTAGGTGGCAAACTGTTTCACCTGTCACACACGCAGGTTTAGAATACAGAGATCACCAATAGTGAAAGCTTACATTTATTTGCTATAAAAAGCCACTTTTCTGTGGTGTAGAAGATCTCCAAATGAGTTCAGCTTCTCTTCAGAGTTCTCTTGCACTGTCCCCTCTCTGAACTTTGATTCAAAAAAAGCTGTGTTTTTGCAACAGTTACTTATCTAGCTACAGGCTCCTAATGAAAACAAGGCCCTGCAGTATTTACAGTGCTGCTGGCAACCAAGGCCCAGTTACCTGGGCCTTGCTGCTGCAGCCAGGATTTCCAAGTTAGATTTAGTTACCTTGCTGTAAATCCACACCCTTTGTTGGCAGGGAAGACAGCCTGCGTCCTATTCTGTACTTGAGTGTACTGTTGCCCTGTGTGAAACCCAAACCGAGCGTGCAATCTTGTTCCTACTTACTCCAAAACCACACCAAAGCCTTGGATCTGTCCAGAAGGCCTGAAGAGGCAGTAGCAGCAGGTCGGCCTCTGTGGCCTTGGACAAATGTTCTCCGGTGAGTTCAGCTGCTATGATTGCTCCCCCCCCACCACCACCCATATTCACCCACTCTTGGGAGGAGTCATAGATTGTTTCTACCCCGGGGAGGCAGTGAAGATTGGAAGTTACAAAACTCCCAGCAGAAGTATCCATAGCGTTACGTGTCCAAAGACGGTTTATTTTTCTAGATGACTCAGTACCCACTCTTTGCCAGGAATTTTTCCTCGGGAGGTTAAGATGTGTCACAAGCTACAAAACTTTGTGTGATTGATTATTTGGTTATTTGGTATGAAACATTTTTTTTTAGGAACTGAATAAACAGAGGGATGTTAGCAATTAACAGGAAGGTTTGGGGTAGAGGGAAGAGAAGAATGCTTCTGTGGCATGGAGTACTGCATGCAAGGGTGCAAGTGGATTTATGAACCGGGAATCATATTTTCAGCTACTGTAACATGCTGACTTCCTTTCTAGAAGCGAACAACCAATAGTTTTGGTCTGTTTCCAGGCACTGCTCAATGAGACCTAGTTCTAACTTGCTCCTTCTGCAGCTCTGAACAGGGCACTTGATCTCCTCTGCCCTCGGTTTCCCCCTCTGTGAAACAGCTAATCCTAAACTCCAAAGGGCACCGGAGTCATTCACTCTGTCACTCTGTGTGCTGCCACAGGAACGCTCAGAGTAGCGCCAAAGTTTAAGAGCTGTCCTACAGTGATGAAAGCCAACCACCCCCTCAGCCCCACTGTGCCAAACATCTCTCTCCTTCCTAATGCAGATTTTGCCTCATACCAACAACACATACACAGGGAACACTAATGATCTGAGTTTACTTTGGAAGGTGGTTTTCCAAAGTCATCTTTTGCCAGGTTTCAGTGCTTTGAGGCATATAGGAAGACTATCCCAGGATCCCTCAAGCACAGCAGAATTTGCAGGGCAGTTCCCAGAAGCCAAGGCCAGTATTGCCCAGTCGATACAGGAATGCACTCTACAATATCCTGGAGAAGCAAAGCAACACCACTGCTTAATTCTTAATCACTGATAGACTCCTAATCAAGGAATTATCTTGGAAGGGACTTCTGGAGGTCATCTGGTCCAACCTCCTGCTCAAAGCAGAATTAATTTCAAAGTTTCATGCAAGAGTAGCATTTAAACAGACACTATCCTAAAATAAAAGGCTCAACATAAAGACAATTACTGACACAATGTAGGCCCCGTATAGCTGCAGCACAGAAGCAATTACAGACCGCATAGAGCAGCTTCTCTTCCAGTTCCTGCACTGCTATATCGAAATTCTAGCAATTGTTTTATCTCATGGCTAAAGAGCCCCATTTTCTTAACTCCAAAATCTGAGAGATGCGTTGCTTCTCTCAATTCCAAAAATATCAGCTAGAAGTTAGCACAGACCTCAGACTGAGTTCACAGTAAGATTTAGCAAAGGAGGAGTCTGTTAATCAAATATTCACTAAAATGACCCAATTTCTACTTCACTGAATAACTCTGAACATGCAATAACCTGCTACAGCAAACATTCCCTTCTCAAGAGCCCTTCAGCATTACCCCGTTCAATGCAACAGATGGACATCAAATTCAAACAACTTACAACAAAGGAACTCTTCACTAGTTTTAAACTTCTGGAATTTATTTATCCACTGCACCACTTTCAAGTGCCACATTAAAGCTACCACCTTCACCATGTTCCCTTGAGATTAAAGAAGTGAGTTATTAATATCACAAGCTTAAGTGGTTTTTGAATGAAAGAATTCTGGAAAATTTCATCCCAGCTAACAGAAGCAAGCAACATACCGTATTTTCATCAAACGCATGCAAAGAGGCAAGGAGCTGGCCTCAGGGAGCTGATATGAAGCAAGGACGTCTTCCAGATAAGGAGGACGGAATTACATACTCACTTTGAACTAACATCAGGACAGGCTGTACCTTCGAAGGAAGTCCTGCACCCCCCCCCAACTCAGATTTCCATCACTTCCTTTATGCTGGCCCTGGCACTTGTGTAACTGGCAACAGCTTTCAGCCAGATCAGTTCCCTTATCCAACTCCTCACACAGCTATATGAACGCTGGTGCAAGGGGATGTGGTAAAATACAGTACTGGGATCTCTCCTTTCATTGGCAAGCCAGACTTACATTGACTTAAAGCAACAGCATCTTAAAGAGAAACACTAGGTGACTTGGATAAGACAAAGATCTCGTTCCTTTTTGCAAAAACACTGACGTGCGTTGCAAAAGTACTCTATTTGAACCTGCATGATTAACACAGTCACGAGAGCACTAAAATGATCTGTGCCTGAACACTCAGAAGAATAGGGAAATGGCTCTGACCAGGTCTATATTAACGGTATATACCCAACAGGATTAAAAAGAAAAAAAAAAGAAAAGAAAGTCAAGATGCTGTTCTTACCTTGTCTTTATCCTAGAGTTACAACACTTTTAAACAGTGCTATTAGCTAACAATCCAGTCTGGCCTTTTTTAAAGAAAAGTTTTGGAAATGATATCTGCTCCCAATTCCATTCCTCCCAACCTGTAGTTCCACAATCATTCCATTTTTTCTTTTCTTTCTTTCTGCTAGTATAACTCATCCACATGCACAGGATATAAGGAAAATGAGCTAATGTGCAAAGCATAATGCTGAAGCCTGCTACCCAAAACCTGCTGTCAAACACACAAAATAAAACAGAAAAAACGTTCTTCAGTTTAATAGTAGCAATCCTATCTCTTTAACAGTAGCAATCCTATCTGAATAGTCAAACAGGGAGAGGCAACATATCCCTTCTCCTTCTAAAAGACTGAAATGGGCATGCTCTGGGAACCACAAAGATTTGAATTGCATCTGTCATCCATCATTAAAATCCAGGAAATAAACCCAAGACAATATGTACGATACAAATACCTAAACCACTGCTCTGCCACTGCAGGTTTATTTATAGAACGTCTGCCAGTGTGAGCTACAAGAGCCAACTGTGAACTACAGGACTCAATCCATTCACAGCTTTTTTCATAAAGGAAAAGATGTGATTAAGGACTTGCGCGTGTTAAAAATACTCAAGATATTCATTACCAAGACATAATTGGCTTTACATTAGTGACAGGCAGAAAGGCCAAGATTCACAAAGAGGACTTAACGCTTCTAGAATTCAGTTTATGGATAGGAT